ATTTCTTCCCATCCTCCTCCTATCTTCCTTCTCCTCTTTCTTCCCATCCTCCTCCTTTCCTCCTTCTCCTCTCTCTTCCCATCCTTTTTCTCTCCCCTTCCTTCTCCCAGGGTTCGTGTTTTAGCATATGACTTCTGGCATTTTGTCTTATATCATTTTAATTAAGACTTTGGGGGAATGGGAAGGGGTAGGGGAGGGTGGGGAGGGGAGATGGGAGAGGAGAGGAAAGGAGAGAAAGAGAGGGGAAGAGAATGGCAGGAGAAGGGAGAGGAGGGGTAGAGGAGAGGAGAAAGGAGGGGAGAAGAAGGGAGGGGGAATGAGAAAGGAGGAGAGGGGAGAGGGAGGGAGAGGGAAAGTAGGAGGGAAGAGGAAAGAAGAGACGGGGGTAGGAGAGAAGGGGGAGGGGAACGACGGGGTTAAGGGGGGGGGGGGAGAGAGAATAAAAAAAAATTAACCATGCCTTGCAAATCATTTAGAGAAAAGAAAGACATTAAAAAAATAATAATATAAAAAAGCTTACACACACAGTCCCTCTCCCCCTCGCCCGCCATCTAACTTTGAAAAGAATACGTTTTATCACCTCCTCCGCAGCCCTTTAAAAAATGCTAAGAAATAAATCATGGGCAGAAAGGAGTTCTCTTTATGCAAATGCCGATATAGATCTTCCTCTCGGCCTTATACAAGAGCGGGGAGAGCGTGTAGAGCTGTTTGAGTGTGGTTACATTTTCTTACAGTTTCGTCTTTTCCCGCGTAAAAGTCGAATAAAAATAATGACAAAAAATAATAATAATAGATAATATTAATAATAAGCACTTAAATAAATAAAAGATTGAGTATACTGGGAGACGATGTTGGGGATATGGTGATGAAGTGGTGGTGATGATGGTGTTGATGATGGTGATGATGATGATGATGATGATGATGATGATGATGATGATGATGATGATGATGATGATGATGATGATGATGATGATGATGATGATGATGATGATCGCGAAGCAATAACAATAATTACAATTCTTCATATTATTACCACGATTATAATCACTTACAATAACACCACCTTCACCAATAACAACAGTAAAAATAATAATGTCAATAGCTACACACATCTTAATGCAGTTTAACATCTCGTTCTTAATTCCGACAACAGATCATAAATTAACAATTAATTAATACATCTTACAACCACACTCGAACGAGACAACGAAACCGCGTCCTTCACACACCCAAAAAAAGAAACCTTTTCTTTTTAAGAATTTAAAAAGAAAATGACTACTGCATTACTTTTTGTTCTTCATTTTTTTATTTTCTTTTTTTAATCTGACACAACAGAGCACAGTCGAGCGCGTTCCTTCGACTTCCTCATCTCAGCCTTGAACCTTGTTAATATCCATGGCATTTGGCTGTACTCAATGCAACGCGGATGACTCTCGTTAAATGTAACGCCGTTTGGAACAATGTTGCATTTTTAATTTTGTTTAGTTCTTTTTCTTTTTTTTAATTATCTAGTGGGTTCGTTAACTTTTGTAGCTTTCTCTATTTTGTGATTTCACTGATATTTATACGTCATTATAAAAAGTGAGCGCGCGCGCGCGTGTGTGTGTGTGTGTGTGTGTGTGTGTGTGTGTGTGTGTGTGTGTGTGTGTGTGTGTGTGTGTGTGTGTGTGTGTGTGTGTGTGTGTGTGTGTGCGTGTGTGCCTGCGTGTGCGTGTATGTGTGTGCGCCTGCATGTGCGTGTGTGTGTATGTTGGGTGTGAAGATGGATATATACAGTTATCGTACGAATGCATCTGTATATCATAAGTGTTCATGATCTGTCAGCATCTGTATGCAGTTCGTATGAAAGTGTATGTGCATTGATATGCATGTCTGCGTCCGATGTATTTACATGCAACCATAAGGTAAGTCATTACGTCACCCATTTGAATGAACGAAAGGTCCATTAACATCCATCCTCTCTCTCTCTCTCTCTCTCTCTCTCTCTCTCTCTCTCTCTCTCTCTCTCTCTCTCTCTCTCTCTCTCTATCTATCTATCTATCTATCTATCTCTCTATCTCTCTATCTATCTCTCTCTTTCCTTGCTTCTCGCTTTCCTCTCCTCTTTTCCTTTCCTCCTTCCTCCATCTCTTCCTTTTCTCCCTTTCCATCTACCGACTCTCCACCCATCTCTCCTTCTCCCTTGCGTTGTGTCTCCTCTTTTCTCCTTTTCCTTTGCTCTTTTTTTACCCTTTTTCATCTCATTTTCATTTTTCTTCCTCCCTTCTGTCTACCTCCTCCCTTATCCTACCTCCTTTTTATCATTTTTCTCCTGTTTGTTTCTTCACCCTCCCCCCCTTCCCTCGTTCCTAATCCTTCCTCATTTAACTTCCTTCCTTCTTCCCCTTACCTTCTTTTCTTCTATCTTCCCTTCTCCCTCTTCCTTCCAATTCCATCTCCTTCCTGCCTCCTCCTCTCTCGTCCCTCCCTTCCTTCTCTACTCTTCCCTCCTTACAACTTCTTTCCTCCTTCCCCCTTTCCCCTTCTCTCATCTTCCTCTTCCTCCCTCCTAATTCCTGTCTCCTCAATCCCCCCTTCCCTCCTACCTCCTGCCCCCCCCCTTCTCTCCTACTTCCTGTCTCCCTTCCCTTCCTCCCTCCTCCCTCATGCCTCCTTCCCCCTTTCCCTCTCCCCTCCTGCCTCCCCCTTTCCCTCCTCCCTCTTCCCTTCCCTCCTCCCTTCCCTCCTACCCCCCCTCCTCCCTTCCCTCCTACCCCCCCCCTCCTCCCTTCCCTCCTACCCCTCTCTTCCCCTCCTCCCTCCTACCCCCCCTTTCCCTCCTCCTTCTTCCCTTCCCTCCTCCCTCCTCCCTCCTACCCCCCTCTTCCCCTCCTCCCTCTCCCCCCTACCTCACCCTTTCCCTCCTCCTTCTTCCCTTCCCCCCTACCTTCCCTCCTACCCCCCTCTTCCCTTCCTCCCTCCTACCCCCCTTCTTCCCCCCTCTTCCCCCTCTTCCCCTCCTCCCTCCTACCCCCCCTCTTCCCCTCCTCCCTCCTACCCCCCTCTTCCCCTCCTCCCTCCTACCCCCCCTCTTCCCCTCTTCCCTCCTCCCTCCTCCCCTCCTCCCTCCTACCCCCCATCTTCCCCTCCTCCCTCTTCCCTTCCCTCCTCCCTTCTCTCCTCCCTCCTCCCTCCTACCCCCCTCTTCCCCTCCTACCTCCTACCCCCCTCTTCCCTTCTCTCCTCCCTCCTCCCTTCTCCCTCCTCCCTCCTACCCCCCTCTTCCCTTCTCTCCTCCCTCCTCCCTTCTCCCTCCTCCCTCCTACCCCCCCTCTTCCCCTCCTCCCTCCTACCCCCCCTCTTCCCTTCTCTCCTCCCTCCTACCCCCTCTTCCCCTCCTCCCTCCTCCCTCTTCCCTTCTCTCCTCCCTCCTCCCTCCTACCCCCCTCTTCCCTTCTCTCCTCCCTCCTCCCTCCTACCCCCCTCTTCCCCTCCTCCCCCAGCAGTATGCCACACTGTCAACGCCGACAGTGTGGCCCTCACGATCGATGCTTTTTTTGTATGTGCGTCGTCCTCTTTTTTTACAGTATAATTGCAAAGACCTTCTTGCTTCAACTTCCTTTCACTTGCATTGTCTCGCATGCACTGTTGCTCTTCTACGTTCATTAAAATTCTATTGTTCTATAAAAATGTTTAGATTTAATGCGTTTTCCTCCTTTTGAGTTCGTGTTCATCTTCTAAAGCTATCTGGGTGTCCTCCCTGTACTGTTGCATTCGTGCTTCGTGCCAATAAACAGCAACAATAATCGTTAGAATCGTCATTGGTCATCACTGAGTCGCTGTTATGCTGGTTCGCAAAGATAACACGCACAATCATATCAGCAGGTCGTTTCATTGTAAGTAGGATTTCTAATTACCTCCTCACGAGATTCTCATCCCCCCCTCTCTTTATCTCTCTAATCTATTTCTATGCCCATCTCCATCTCTCTCTTCCTTTTTCTTTCTTTCTTTCTCTCTTTCTCTCTTTCTCTCTTTCTCTCTTTCTCTCTTTCTCTCTTTCTCTCTCTCTCTCTCTCTCTCTCTCTCTCTCTCTCTCTCTCTCCCTCTCCCTCTCCCTCTCCCTCTCCCTCTCCCTCTCCCTCTCCCTCTCCCTCTCCCTCTCCCTCTCCCTCTCCCTCTCTCCTGTGCGTCGACCTAAACCCACCGTCTATCTGTTGAGACATCAAGCAACAGGAGGCTCGTCCGGCGAACTACAACATAACACGACCTCCATGGCGGTAATTCTCTCTCTCTCTTCCCTCCCCTTCCTCCCCTCTCTCCATTCCCTACCCTTCCGTTCCTTCCCTCCTCTCCCTTCGCGTCCGTCCCTCCCTTCCCTTCTTTTCCTTTCCTTTCCTTCCCTTCCCTTCCCTTCCCTTCCCTTCCCTTCCCTTCCCTTCCCTCTCCTCGCCTCCCCTTCCCTTCCCATCCCTTCCCTTCCCTTCCCTTCCCTCCCCTCCCCTCCCCTTCCCTTCCCTTCCCTTCCCTTCCCTTCCCTTCCCTCCCCTCCCCTCCCTTCCACTCCCCTCCCCTCCCCTCCCCTCCCCTCCCCTCCCCTCCCCTTCCCTCCCCTTCCCTTCCCTCCCCTTCCCTTCCCTCCTCTTCTCTTCTCTTCTCTTCTCCCTGGAACCTCCCGTCCCCCCCCCCCACCCCCCCGCCAAAAGCACCGTTCCATCCGACTCCCACAAACTCCGGTCCCCGTATCTCCCACTCTACAGCGTCTACCTTTAATCCGGCTTCAGGGCACGCACTCCCCCCTCCCTCTGGTTCCATCCGGTCTTCAGCCTCGCCATATATAGAGTCTAGTCGCGCGGACGGAGTTTAAATGTCTCAAGCCCGACAGTAAGCTCCGTGCATGCCGTGCCTACCTAACGCTTCTGTTCTGCCGACGAGTGAAAAGAAGTTACAAACAACACTGATTTCCAAATACCTCGGTTCGAATGGCGTTCGGGTTGTTATCATTACAAATTATTGAGCCGATC